CGTTGATATGAATAGGCCTCATGATGCCATTAATTTTGGCCTAGGCTCAACTTCCAAAAGTTATTCTCATCCAGGAAGGGCTTCAGTCTCTATCTCGCCTGAATCACAAGGGTAGTTTAGTGAATATTTCCAACATGTTAGCAAGTGGGTCGCAAAGAAGATAGGAATTTCAAGGCAAGCCAGACCTCTCCATTATTATATCTATGGTGGGATGTTGTGAAGGCAATCTTGTATTGAACATTGAGTGATTATGTTATAAATATTAATAATTAGGTTTTAAAGTACGGTGAATTTAAACCACATTCCAAGTTATTCTGTTAGTATTGAAACGAATAGGTTATAATTTTTTAAATAGTCGATTCTAATAGAAACATAAAGTTTACTTTAATGAAAATCGTAATATAATTGTGAACTCTGAGAGGCCACTCTTGCCTTTCAAATCACATCTATGCTATGACCAATTGGCGCGCACGATAGTCTGGACTATGGGTAATATGTAGAACCCGCATTACCCGAGTTCAATACTCGTTGGTGGAACTGATGAGACCAATATGGAGTCGAAATTGAAGTTTGCCCTGGGTTAGAGTACCTTTTTGTGGACAAGACTAAATGAAATTCACACTCAACGTAAAACTTAAAAGTATTATTGTAGGAAAATTCAACTACCAGCCCTTCGTCATCCTATGCTTGATACGGCGGCTACAACTTTTGTATAACTCCTCTGTCAGGACAATATTAAAGAACTTCTATATGGCCTCAAGGCTGATATCTTAGCCGTAATCTAGCTCAGGCTCTCTCTATAAGTTTAAGTAACAAAATAAGTAATATTATCAAAATTTCAAGAAACTAAGTGCAATCATGAAATGGAAATGGGATGTATAGGCTACCACGTATTTGTTAATGGGAAAAGATTGGAACGGTTAACGACCTACTAGGCCAATCGTAAGCTGTCAGCCAAATAAAGTATAAGCCGCTTACCAGGCTTGAGAGGTGTTCGAATAGAGTCACGGGTCTCAGCGAACTCACTGAGACCGACTTCATTTCTGGCAGCCACACGGAAAAAATAGTCGGTGTTAGCCGCCAGGGTTGAGCTGGTCTCCTTAGATGACACAGGAATAAACAGATTTTTCTGACTTGCAGGGATGCAGAGTGGCTCATCAAAAGTACCAGGGACAGTTAAAGTCTGCCAAGCGCGCCGGTTGGTCGGCCGAAACTCTAGTTGGTAGTTGGTCAGTGGAGTGCCTGCACATTCGCGAGGTTCGCACCATGTGACCTCGATATCTTTCAGGTTCTGAGTAATGTGCGCTTCAGGACTCTGGGGTGAGTGCGGTTTATCTGAGAAAATAAAATACACCATTGATAAGAGCTCATGAATGTGACGAGTGGCAGAATAAGTTGAAACTTACATAAGCAAACAGTCACCATTTATTTATATTTCGGTTTACAACAAAATTACAAGCTAATGTGAATTATTAATGC